GTCTCACCCCTACATCTATTCAACGGGACATGGTTTACAATCCTGGGATATTGCATCGGCATGTCGTTCGGCAGCTTACGAAAAAAGCCCTGAACATCTCGCCTCGGACAACGAAATTCTTGTTTTCTCCTTGGTCCTGAGTTATTGAGATTCGATTTGAAATGAATGGGGCCTCTGTTGACCGAAACATATCCTCTTCCTGGATGCTGCCTCTTCACAGGACTGCTGCTAGTTGGCGAAAGTAGAAAGAGCGTTTCACGCTCCAGGCCGTGCGAGAGAGACGAGAAGGGGGTTTCTCTTACTTTTCGGCCATTTCCCCTTACCCCTCGCCGTTTGGGCTTTGGAGACGCTTCAGACGGCAACATCTCATCTGCTGGTTGGATAGGTGTTGATGGCCTGTCTGCACGGATGTGCTGTTGAGAACATTCCGAGGACCCGGTCCTGTATGGCAGAGGTATTATGTACTTATCCATGACTATTCAGGTACAATGCTTCATTTTATTTGAATATATCTCCTTTCTCGATTAGTAGCTAAGGCAGGAAGAGCTGAATGGAAGTGCGTCCGAATGCGTACACACGCCAGGGGAGCAGGCACTTTAGTCCGACTCTTTGTCTCGCTAGTGGACAGTCGATGTGCAAATAGCCAATTGGAAGCTGGCAGCACATCTGCCGAGTATGCTAGAAAAGCTTCATTAAGGACATGAAACAAAGGTTCATTAGCGAGCTTTGAGGTCAGATAACGCGTTGCCAGAAGGTGAGGCAAATTACGAGGTCTTGTTTACTCTTGGAGAGAAGCTAAACATTTTAGAGTTTCTAAAATAGTTCGTTCGATCGTAACGACGAAACACCATCATCTTGCTACAAAAGGTGAAAAGGCTTCTGACTAGATGAATCTGAGGGTATAGTATTGTTTGATGGGTGACAGTTGTATCCATGTTGAGGACCATAACGCCTGATTGATAGTAAAAATAGGCGAGGTAAGATAAAAACCTTACAAGGAGAAATTTCAGCTTGGTTTGGACGAAATATAGTTCCAGCAGTCGAGACCGTTAGATAAAATTGAAGAAGCAGATTAGGTAGGTTTTTATTCGGGTTTTACCCATTATAAAA